AAATGACCAACAGACAGACTTCTAGTCATGGTATAAACTGACCACCAAACAGACTTCTAGTCATGGTATAAAATGACCAACAGACAGACTTTTAGTCATGGTATAAACTGACCACCAAACAGACGTCTAGTCATGGTATAAAATGACCAACAAACATACTTCTAGTCAAGGTATAAAATGACTAAAAGACAGACTTCTAGTCAAGGTAAAAACTGACCAATGGACAGACTTCTAGTCATGGTATAAAATGACCAACAGACTTCTAGTCATGGTATAAACTGAAAAACCTACAGATTTTTAGTCATGATACAAAATGACCAACAGACAGACTTCTAATCATGGTATAAACTGACCAATGGACATACTTTTAGTCATGGTATAAAATGACCAACAGACATACTTTTAGTCATGGTATAAAATGACCAACAAACAGACTTCTAGTCATGGTATAAACTGAAAAATGGACAGACTTCTAGTCATGGTATAAAATGACCAACAGACAGACTTATATTCATGGTATAAACTGACCAATGGAGATACTTTTAGTCATGGTATAAAATGACCAACAGACAGACTTCTAGTCATGGTATAAACTGACTAACAGACAGGCTTTTAATCATGGTATAAACTGACCAACAGACAGACGTCTAATCATGGTATAAACAGACCAACAGACAGACTTCTAGTCATGGTATAAACAGACCAACAGACAGACATCTAGTCATGGTAAAAACTGACCAACAGACAGACTTCTAGTCGTGGTATAAAATGACCAAAAGACAGACTTTTAGTCATGGTATAAATTTACTAACAGACAACGGTTTTGTGCATGTTTGTTTTTACAGTTGTGTGAATGGGGTACAACGAAACCTCTAAAATAACCTAATTATATTCACACACACATATACACACATATACACACACACACACATATATACACACAAATATACACACATGCACACACACACACATACAGCCGGAAGGAAGAGGGTAGAATGCTGGGAGAGAATCATTAACACGGTGGCAAAAGTATATATTCAGCTCATCAATGGCGATTAAAGTAGAAAGGTTCCCACAATCTGGACATAAATACCTGGATTAGAGGATTAGTGTAGAAGTTCCTGAGGTAATTCCTCCCTGGGGCGTGACCTGGCTATGGCGAGGACGAAGCTGTATAAAAGGTGGACACCAACAGGAAGATTTCACAGTCGACAACTTGGGAGTCCAGCCATCGGTAGAAGCTCGCAGAGGGAAAGACGTGACACCATACAACAGTGAGTGTTGAGTGGTTGTTGTTGTTGTTCTTGTTCTCTTGTTTATTGTCCTCTCTTTCTCCATTTCGTCCTTATACTGTTACTATTATTCCTTCTCTTTGTCGTCTTCGCCCAACTCCATCGCCGTTCTTTCGTCGTCGCTGTCCTCTTCTTTCTCTGTTATTACTATTCGTTGTTATCCTCTTCTTTCTCTGTTATTACTATTCGTCGTCATCCTCTTCTTTCTCTGTTATTACTATTCATCACCGTCATCCTCTTCTTTCTCTGTTACTACTATTCGTCGTCATCCTCTTCTTTCTCTGTTATTACTATTCATCACCGTCATCCTCTTCTTTCTCTGTTACTACTATTCGTCGTCATCCTCTTCTTTCTCTGTTATTACTATTCCTCGTCATCTTCTTCTTTCTCTGTTACTACTATTCGTAGTAATCCTCTTCTTTCTCTGTTATTACTATTTGTCGTCATCCTCTTCTTTCTCTGTTACTACTATTCATCGCCATCCTCTTCTTTCTCTGATATTACTATTCATCACCGTCATCCTCTTCTTTCTCTGTTACTACTATTCGTCGTCATCCTCTTCTTTCTCTGTTATTACTATTTGTCGTCATCCTCTTCTTTCTCTGTTACTACTATTCGTCGTCATCCTCTTCTTTCTCTGTTATTACTATTCGTCACCGTCATCCTCTTCTTTCTCTGTTATTACTATTTGTCGTCATCCTCTTCTTTCTCTGTTACTACTATTCGTCGTCATCCTCTTCTTTCTCTGATATTACTATTCATCACCGTCATCCTCTTCTTTCTCTGTTACTACTATTCGTCGTCATCCTCTTCTTTCTCTGTTACTACTATTCGTCGTCATCCTCTTCTTTCTCTGTTACTACTATTCGTCGTCATCCTCTTCTTTCTCTGTTACTACTATTCCTCGTCATCTTCTTCTTTCTCTGTTACTACTATTCGTCGTAATCCTCTTCTTTCTCTGTTATTACTATTTGTCGTCATCCTCTTCTTTCTCTGTTACTACTATTCGTCGTCATCCTCTTCTTTCTCTCTGTTCTACTATATTTCGTCCGTCTCTCTCTCTTCTTTCTCTGTTACTACTATTTATCGCCGTCATCCTCTTCTTTTCTCTGTTACTACTATTTATTCGTCCGTCATCCTCTTCTTTCTCTGTTACTACTATTCTTCGTCACCGTCATCCTCTTCTTTCTCTGTTCTCTGTTACTACTACTATTCGTCACCGTCATCCTCTTCTTTCTCTGTTACTACTATTCGTCACCGTCATCCTCTTCTTTCTGTTATTACTATTCGTCGTCGTCATCCTCTTTTTCTCTGTTACTACTATTCATCGCCGTCATCCTCTTCTTTCTCTGTTATTACTATTCATCGCCGACCTCTCCTTCTTTTTCTCTGTTACTACTATTCGTCGTCACCCCTTCTTCTTTCTCTGTTACTACTATTCATCGACCTCTACTTCCTCGTTACTACTATTCGTCGTCATCCTTCTTTCTCTGTTTTTCTGTTACTACTATTCATCGCCGACCCTCTTCTTTCTCTGTCATCCTTTTCTTTCTCTGTTACTACTATTCATCGCCGACCTCTTCTTTCTCTGCTACTACTATTCGTCACCGTCACCCCCTTCTTTCTCTGTTACTACTATTCGTCACCGTAATCCTCTTCTTTCTCTGTTATTACTATTCGTCACCGTCATCCTCTTCTTTCTCTGTTACTACTATTCGTCGCTGTCCTCTTCTTTCTCTGTTATTACTATTCGTCGTCATCCTCTTCTTTCTCTGTTATTACTATTCATCACCGTCATCCTCTTCTTTCTCTGTTATTACTATTCATCGCCGTCATCCTCTTCTTTCTCTGTTACTACTATTCGTCGTCATCCTCTTCTTTCTCTGTTATTACTATTCATCACCGTCATCCTCTTCTTTCTCTGTTATTACTTTTCGTCACCGTCATCCTCTTCTTTCTCTGTTACTACTATTCGTCGTCATCCTCATCTTTCTCTGTTACTACTATTCGTCGTCATCCTCTTCTTTCTCTGTTACTATTATTCGTCGCTGTCTTCTTCTTTCTCTGTTACTACTATTCATCGCCGACCTCTTCTTTCTCTGTTACTACTTTTCATTGCCGACCTCTTCTTTCTCTGTTACTACTATTCATCGCCGACCTCTTCTTTCTCTGTTACTACTATTCATTGCCGACCTCTTCTTTCTCTGTTACTACTATTCGTCACCGTCATCCTATTCTTTCTCTGTTATTAATATTCGTCACCGTCATCGTCTTCTTTCTTTGTTACTACTATTCGCCGCTGTCCTCTTCTTTCTCTGTTATTACTATTCGTCGTCATCCTTTTCTTTCTCTGTTACTACTATTCATCGCCGACCTCTTCTTTCTCTGTTACTACTATTCATCGCCGACCTCTTCTTTCTCTGTTACTACTATTCGTCACCGTCATCCTCTTCTTTCTCTGTTACTACTATTCGTCACCGTCATCCTCTTCTTTCTCTGTTACTACTATTCATTGCCGACCTCTTCTTTCTCTGTTACTACTATTCATCGCCGACCTCTTCTTTCTCTGCTACTACTATTCGTCACCGTCATCCTCTTCTTTCTCTGTTACTACTATTCGTCACCGTCATCCTCTTCTTTCTCTGTTACTACTATTCATTGCCGACCTCTTCTTTCTCTGTTACTACTATTCATCGCCGACCTCTTCTTTCTCTGCTACTACTATTCGTCACCGTCATCCTCTTCTTTCTCTGTTACTACTATTCGTCACCGTCATCCTCTTCTTTCTCTGTTACTACTATTCGTCACCGTCATCCTTATCTTTCTCTGTTACTACTATTGGTCACCTTCATCCTCTTCTTTCTCTGTTACTACTATTCGTCACCGTCATCCTCTTCTTTCTCTGTTACTACTATTCGTTACCGTCATCCTCTTCTTTCTCTGTTACTACTATTCGTCACCGTCATCCTCTTCTTTCTCTGTTACTACTATTTGTCGTCATCATCTTCTTTCCCTGTAACTACTATTCGTCGTCATCATCTTCTTTCTCTGTTATTACTATTCGTCGTCATCATCTTCTTTTTCTGTTACTACTATTCGTCGTCATCATATTCTTTCTCTGTTACTACTATTCGTCACCGTCATCCTCTTCTTTCTCTGTTACTACTATTCGTCGTCATCATCTTCTTTCCCTGTAACTACTATTCGTCGTCATCATCTTCTTTCTCTGTTACTACTATTCGTCACCGTCATCCTCTTCTTTCTCTGTTACTACTATTCGTCGTCATCATCTTCTTTCTCTGTTACTACTATTCGTCACCGTCATCCTCTTCTTTCTCTGTTACTACTATTCGTCGTCATCATCTTCTTTCTCTGTTACTACTATTCGTTACCGTCATCCTCTTCTTTCTCTGTTATTACTATTCGTCACCGTCATCCTCTTCTTTCTCTGTAACTACTATTCGTCGCCGTCCTCTTTTTTCTCTCTTTCTATTATAGGCCTCATCCTCTTCGTTCTCTGGTACTACTATTAGTCGCCGTCCTCATCTATCTCTCTTAATAATATTCGTCGCCGTCTTCATCTATCTCTCTGAATAATATTCGTCGCCGTCCTTATCTATCTCTCTTATCTCTACTCGTTATCTGTTATTACAAATCATAATAATAATACACACACTACAATGTCTTCCCGTGTCCTGTCCACAGATGATGAACCACACAATCGTAGTACTCCTACTTGTGGCCACTCTTTCCTGGAGTGCTGACGCTTTTGCTTTCGGATATGGATTCCCTGCACTCCGTCTCGGCTTCGGCAAATTCGGCTACAGCGGTCTGGGATATGGAGGGCTGGGGTACGGAGCCCTGCCCTTTGGTGGGCTAGGATATGGAGGGCTGGGATACGGAGGGCTGGGATACGGCGGGCTGGGATATGGTGGGCTGGGATATGGTGGGCTGTACGGCGGCTTGCTAGGTAAGTGACGTCGCATGTAGTGTAGTAATTAGAGTAAGTACGGTAAAGGCAAACATTTATTGAGAAACGAGAAGACGCACAACAAAACGACTCTGACGGTTAATAATGTCGGAACGCTGGTTAGTCAACGTGAGACTCAGCGGTATCCCCAGCATTCTTCTACTTGTCTAACCTTCCTATAATACTGTCTGGTACCCACATTTCTGAGACTGGGTCGACCCCGGGGTGGTATCTGGATTCCGGTCGTGTGAGGGTTTAATACAGACATTGCCTTGACAAGCAAGAGAACTTCCCACTAGTTGTCTTCCTTGTGCAGATCTCGTACAATGCCTGTATTCTTTTTATTTTCTTTTAGCTATCATGTGTGAGTATAGAGGAGATGTAGCAAAACTTTGTGGTAGCTATCATGTGTGTGTATGGAGGAGATGTAGCAAAACTTTGTGGTAGCTATCATGTGTGAGTATAGAGGAGATGTAGCAAAACTTTGTGGTAGCTATCATGTGTGTGTATGATGTAGCAAAACTTTGTGGTAGCTATCATGTGTGTGTATGGAGGAGATGTAGCAAAACTTTGTGGTAGCTATCATGTGTGAGTATAGAGGAGATGTAGCAAAACTTTGTGGTAGCTATCATGTGTGTGTATGGAGGAGATGTAGCAAAACTTTGTGGTAGCTATCATGTGTGAGTATGGAGGAGATGTAGCAAAACTTTGTGGTAGCTATCATGTGTGTGTATGGAGGAGATGTAGCAAAACTTTGTGGTAGCTATCATGTGTGTGTATGGAGGAGATGTAGCAAAACTTTGTGGTAGCTATCATGTGTGAGTATAGAGGAGATGTAGCAAAACTTTGTGGTAGCTATCATGTGTGTGTATGGAGGAGATGTAGCAAAACTTTGTGGTAGCTATCATGTGTGAGTATGGAGGAGATGTAGCAAAACTTTGTGGTAGCTATCATGTGTGTGTATGGAGGAGATGTAGCAAAACTTTGTGGTAGCTATCATGTGTGTGTATGGAGGAGATGTAGCAAAACTTTGTGGTAGCTATCATGTGTGTGTATGAAGGAGATGCACGGACAGAACTGATATGACAAATGCTAACACGACTGCGTGACTTGGGAGTACAACTCGCTTAAACACGTATATGCTGTCTTTGAGGTCAAGAAAGAAGAAACTAACCAACTTCTTAAGGGAACAACCAGTACAGGTACTTAGGGGTGGCTGCTGCTGCAGAAGCCTGAGCACGCACAGGAGTGCCCCATGTGCACTGAAGTCGACTGTGATAACAAGAAAAGAGATGGGTTGAGGGAGTAAAAGACACACCACAAAAAGTCAATACGATGTTAGCACAAGCCTGGCAACTAGCAAGGACAGGAAACAAAAGCTAACTTCTGTATGCACAGTGATTAGGGATTAGTGATTACACAGGATTATCATCACAGCACTCCGGACAGATCCATAGATGCTCCGACCTCCTCCTCAAAAGCTCCAGAAGTGTAAAAAGACTGATGACGCCTGTTCTGTGTTGGTTAATGAAACTTCTTGTCATCCTCCTAGTGAAATATTAATTTCTTGCAGCTTCAGGCTGCACCCCGCATGTCCATCAGTCTAGACAAGTATATGGATCATGTCCTTTGGCGTGCTCCTCGGTACAGTAAGTGCAGCGCATGGCATTGATAACATCACTTCTGTCCAGTACTGGGCCATCCATAGCAACTGAAGTGTCAGCAAGATAGTCTGCACGTTCGTTCCCTTGAACACCCGCGTGACCTGGCACAACGATGAAGGTTAGGGCAGATATTCGTGAAGTGCTTAGTGTTTCAATCCATTCTTGCCTGATCGTATGTACAGATTTATGGCTTAAAACGTAGGCAACAAACAAGAACCTTAATCTAACTGTAGTTATTCATTCACCCATCCATCCACCCACCCATCCATCCACCCACCAATCCATCCATCCATCCATCCATCCATTCACCCATCCATTTACCCATCCATCCATCCATCTACTATGTTTATAACAGCAATACATTATCTGTCTTTTATGCAGGCAAAGGCTTATATTATTAAACATCCTCACGATTGTGTGACGTTACATAACCGCAGACGTGACTGGATCATCACAGACACAAGTTACAAACCTTGATGTCAACTCAACTTGAACATCAATTAATTATCAATACAATTTATTTCATCACTTAAGTTGTTGATATGTGCTGTTGTTTATATTACTGTTGTTAAGTCGTACTGCTGTTAAAATGTTTTGCTGCTGAGTTGTACTGTTGTGGAGTTGTGTTGTCACTCTTCCTACTGTAGCGTTAGGACACGTCCTATATACTTTCGCCTCACCCATCATTCTTTCTTCCTTCTTGTTTGTTACTTCTTCCCCCCCCCCACCTTCTCTCTCTCTCTCTCTCTCTCTCTCTCTCTCTCTCTCTCTCTCTCTCTCTCTCTCTCTCTCTCTCTCTCTCTCTCTCTCTCTCTCTTCCTAACCCCTCCCTTTTTTTTTTTAAAGTTACCTCTTTTACTGGAACTCTTCTCTTCACTTGTTTCTCTCTTTCACATTCGACGATTATTTCTGTCTTGTTAATTGCCTTCTTTTTTACCTCAGTTGTGTCTTTTTCTGTCTCTCTTTCTTCCCTTCTGTGTCTTATATGTCATTTCTTAAACACTAATATCCCCAGTGTCAAATACTGTCGTTTTATGAGATGTGAAATTCTTCACTTGGGCTAACTGGCCACAATATGAGATGAGGAGACTGTTGCCTGGTGGCCCATGTTCTGTCTCCCAGTCGAAGATCCAGCAGCAGATCTGCTACAATGATGAGCAATCCACTGCGGACTTGTCGAGTTCCTAACACCAATGTTTAAACATGCTCACAAACATCATTCATTTGACATGTAATTACCTAGGCCACATCAAACGTCACAGAGGCTTACCGATAGCAGTAACTGAGGTGGGGTGAAGTGGGGTCGGGGTGTGTGTGTGTGTGTGGGGGGGGGGAGCCCGAAAGACGAGTTGGAGACAAATCAAAACTATGCACATTAGGGGTGAGCCTGAAAATACAAAATTTAACAGAAAAAGCAGATGTTCGAATCCCTTTTTTCAATTGCATATCCATTAACTCTTTGAGTCCCAGTGAGTTTAGCAACACAGGTCCAAGGGGTAGTTAAGAGAGACATAAAATTGGCACATCATGCGTTAACTGGGCTTTTTTGTAGGAACCTGTGAACGTGAAATGCGTTTTCTTGGGACTCAAAGAGTTAAGAGATTTAAAAAAAAAAAAATTTTGGTAGCCTTTATTAGAGAGGAGGAAACATATAGGACGGCGTATCATAGCGATAGGGAAAGCTCAGAGGTTTTAGTATTAAAAGGGTTCACATCAGACAGATGGCGGGTTAGAGACGTCAACATGAGATAATTCGCTGTCAATGCTGATGAAAATTATGGCACTCGGGGCTTCTTTCCCGGTTGCAAGCAGTGGTACGCAGTACCTACACCGTTTTATAGAAGCGATATTTCGGCATCGCTGCAATAGACATTTTGTAAGTACTGACACTTTTTGTGTGTGTGGCTAAGACGAAAGAAAAGAACGTGATGGTAATATTCAAACTTTGACGACGACGACAGAAACCACGGTCACAAACACAGAGGGAGACTGTGGAGAACAGATACACTTACCTAGCGCGTTGTTCGATGTCCTTTCAATCTTCTTGTGTGTGATTTTCAGCTGGTATCATTCATCGTTGTGCTGGACTTGTCTACTGGTGATTGGAAGCTGGTCGATGTTAGTGGATTCAGTACGATATCCGTATTGAAGCTTCATGTCAACGTTAGGGTTGTAACAGGAAGATCTTGACGTGTCGGTTGAATTATGGCAACACATTTGTCTCTGTCTGGCTGACTGACAACATAATTCTATATCCGTGACTCTTCACTGATATTTCATCGACTCCATTGACACTAGACATGTCTTCGTCACTGACTGATAGCACACCCGTCTATGTTGATGTTAGGTAATATGCATGCCTGACCAAGACTGGCATACCGTTACAAGGAATGTCAGATACCTGCACATGGACAGCATGAATACATGTCAACACTGATGTCTATGACTCCACGAAATGGCAACACTTCTATATGATCATGCAAGTTGGTAACTTACTAGTACAACCAGTTGTCTCCTATGTTGAAGACACGATGTTTCTGACTAGTGACTGTCAGCTGGCCCGTCATTGCCCCAGTGTCCCACATTCTGTCAGCTGGCCCGTCATTGTCCCAGTGTCCCACACTCTGTCAGCTGGCCCGTCATTGTCCCAGTGTCCCACATTCTGTCAGCTGGCCCGTCATTGTCCCAGTGTCCCACATAATGTCAGCTGGCCAGTTATTTTCCCAGTGTCCCACATTCTGTCAGCTTGCCCGTCATTGCCCCAGTGTCCCACATTGTGTCAGCTGGCCCGTCATTGCGCCAGTGTCCCACATTCTGTCAGCTTGCCCGTCATTTTCCCAGTGTCCCACATTCTGTCAGCTGGCCCGTCATTGTCCCAGTGTCCCACATAATGTCAGCTGGCCAGTTATTTTCCCAGTGTCCCACATTCTGTCAGCTGGCCCGTCATTGTCCCAGTGTCCCACATACTGTCAGCTGGCCCGTCATTGTCCCAGTGTCTCACATTCTGTCAGCTGGCCAGTCATTGTCCCAGTGTCCCACATTCTGTCAGCTGGCCCGTCATTGTCCCAGTGTCCCACATTCTGTCAGCTGGCCAGTCATTGTCCTAGTGTCCCACATTCTGTCAGCTGGCCAGTCATTGTCCCAGTGTCCCACATTCTGTCAGCTGGCCAGTCATTGTCCTAGTGTCCCACATACTGTCAGCTGGCCAGTCATTGTCCCAGTGTCCCACATACTGTCAGCTGGCCCGTCATTGTCCCAGTGTCCCACATAATGTCAGCTGGCCTGTCATTGTCCCAGTGTCCCACATTCTGTCAGCTGGCCCGTCATTGTCCCAGTGTCCCACA